GTCAAACATATATAGTCTAATGTTCTTAAAAATATGTACCACTAGCACCCTTAAAAAGTAGCTGAATAGGATCCAATCCACAGCCAGGTATGGGGAGTTAACCCTTTGTTTCCTGCCAGTTTTCCTAAAAAGCGTGTTTGGGAAAAAAGTAGCAGGTTCGGAAAACATAAATACACACGTACACACACAAGGAAAAGGTTAAATCAGTGTTTCTCAACCTCAGCAACTTTACAATGTGTGGAATTCTGAATTCTGGGAGCTGAAGTCCACACATCGTAAAGTTGCTGAGGTTGGGAAGCGCTGGGTTAAATCCTCCTAGCACTTGCAGTAAAGCAATGCATGCTGTTTCTCTCTCTCTCTCTCTCTCTCTTTCTCTCTCTCTCTCTCTCTCCATTTTTATTAGAATTTTTGAATACAATAAAAGTATAAAAATTAAAAGAAAAAGAAGAAAAAGAAAAGAAAAAAAAAGAAAATATAGAATTATGACTTCTGCCCTTCCTTCTATTGAGTGGTTGCCATCTTACTCTTTCCCCTCCCTCTTTATCCCTTTTTAATCCCCAAATCCATAAGTCATCAATTCAGTCTTTTCTTCTTTCAACAAAAAGTCCATATAAGGTTTCCAATTTTTCAAAAAAGTCTTTATCAGGTTTTCCCCCCTGACCTGCATGTTGTTTTTTCCTGATAAAAAAGGAAGAAAACTTCCATCCACAGACTGCTGGAGAGATAATCAAATTGCCTGCACAGGAATAACATACTCATGAGCAAAATTGGATATCCCCCAAATATATATGACACATATATGTGTACAGGCTATATGGAGTCCATTCAAATGTATCGTAACATTTTCTGGAGAAGGATTTTCCACTTAAATTAATCAACTGTTTTTGCCAGCTGAAAGCAATAGGAGGAAGGAAATCTGCACCAGGCAAACAGACAGTGGGAATTCCCCTTTTTTGGCAATGAAAGCATATTGTTGCAGAGACATGTTGCTAATATTTTCAAAGGAAATTGGCACAAACCATTCTCTAGACCAGTGTTTTCAACTTCACTCACTTTAAGATGTGTGGGCTTCAACTCCCAGAATTCCCCAGCCAGCATGGCTGGCTGGGTAATTCTGGGAGTTGAAGTCCACACATCTTAAAGTGGCTGAGGTTGAACAACACTGGTCTAGACTAAAGGTGCCTTTGTCTGCAGAGACAAAATCTAAGTAGCTGCTGTATTCCAGTGTTTTTCAAGTCCAGCTCATAAGTTAACAAAACAAAATCCCACAGAAAGAACACAGCAGGGCAGCAGCAAGTCTTTAATCCATGTAGACATATTTTCCCATTTATAGGCATTGAGATATGTGCTGATTTAAAAAATGAGATTAATGTGGTTGCGTGCGTGCATTTGTCTGTGCATCACAACTTATATCTAAACTTTATATATAAATATATTGCTTCAGAATATCTTAGCCTTTGCCTAAAGGAAGGTAAGGCCATCAATAGCTGTTCATTACACTAGCTCAGATTTGAATGTCCAAAGCCCGAAGCAATATATTCTGGATTATAAAATGCTGGGATCAAACATAAGAGCCCTGTTGGTCTTCTTTGTTCTCAGTCTTCAACCAAGGATATTTTTGTTGGAGACTGAATGTGGAACTAGACAGCATATTAAAAAGCAGAGACATCACCTTGCCGACAAAGATCCGCATAATCAAAGCTATGGTTTTTCCAGTAGTAATGTATGGCTGTGAGA